TGAGTTTCTTTTTTTCTTTTAAATGCAGACAGCTCAAAGTTTGATATTTTTCCTTATTCTAAATTATTTTCTTAGAGTATTACCATGACACTGTTTGGTCCACACAATTTTTTTAATTTTTTTTTTTCTCCCTAAGAGAGAGATCCATGATTTTATTGATCTCTAATCAATGCCCATAGAACATTAGGGAACAACTAAGGGCCTTCAGGAATATGCTGCCATTTCAAAATTCTCAAAGCTCCACTTCTTAAATTCCATTTGTAGATACCAATAAAGCAGTACAATGTTTAATGAGAAGCTATGTAAAACATCAGCTGTTGAATCCATTTGTATTTTTATTGATTATCTGACTGGAAGAAAAGCATTAATTTACTAACAGAAATACAGTCTATTGTATGTGTACCATTGCATTTTGTTGAGCTAATGAAACTAGCAAATCCATTTTTAACTTCTGATGTGTTCACTGATTGATGGTATGCAAATGATTCTTCATTTTAAATTCTCTTACGAAGATAAAACCCAAAGCTTCAATGTTAAATAGCATGGTTTTGTTTGTCCTTTTCTTATCTACATTTTCTTCCTTTCAAATGTTAATAACCTTAAGAATTTTTTATCCAATCTTAGCATAAATAGTCATTCATGGTCCTTTTCTAATTATGATCAATAGATTCCTGAAATGGCATTGCCTGGAAAATATTCTATTCATGATTAAAGGAGGCAAGTGAATCACATTTGCAGTCTAACATAGTTATATTTGTTGAATATATTTAGAATATCCCCCTAAATTAGTGCTATTTTTTAGATCATTTTGAATAGACCTTTTTGATTTCAATTGAATAAAATTTCTTTCCTTCTTCCTGAAGTCATGTGATAGAAGATCTGTAATGGTAAAAAGCATCCAAGAATCTTCATAGTTTCTGAGAAATAATTGCTTACTGGCATAAATTCAATATTGGAGATTTCTTTCCCTTTAAAGTGGGGGAAGTAGACTCCCGTTATTCTGAGACAACCTTTCAGTTGTGGAAGTCATGGAAATAGGAGGATTGGGGAATACAAGGGTAGATATTTCAGTGGAAAATAGTCACCAATTTTTAATTAAACTCTGATACCTCCCACCCTACCAAAGACAAAGTTCGGGGCTGGTCATATGTCCTTCACAGTTATCCTCTACTGTTAATCAAGTGAACAGTGGAATAAATATGCATTGTTTTGGCATGTATCTTGAAAAGTGTTTACAAAGTATTGTAGAGGGAGACTGAGACATCCCTCAGATAAGTAGCACTTCAGTGCAGAAGGAGGAAGTCAACACAGCACAGTTAACTTGGATTCACAAAGGGAAAGTCCTATATAACTAATTCAAGGTATTTCTATCATAAATTCATCTGCCTTGTGGAGAAAGGGAAGATGATATACGTGGTTTTTCTGGGTTTTACTAAGGCTGTTGATACTGTCCCTCACAGCATCCTTCTGGACAATTTGTTCAACTGTGGGATGAGTTTGTTTATGCTGCACTGGCTGAAGGGCAAAGTTCAAAAGGTTGTAGTGAATGGGGCTACATCTGACTGGCAACTGAGCATCAGCGGTGCTCCTCAGGGTTCAATTCTAGGGCTAGTTCTGTTCAATCTGTTTATCAATTATCTGGATGCAGGAGCTGAATACACCGTTAGCAGATTTGCTGATGATACCAAACTGGGAGGTGCTGTTGGCTCTCTTGAGGGATGTCTTGCAGAGGGATCTATAAAGAACAGAGCATTAGGTGATAATTTCTGGGATGAAATTTAACAAGAATAAATGCTGGATTCTGCATCTAGGATGGAGTAATATTGGGCACAAGTATAAATTGGGAGAGCAGCCTCGCAGAAAGGCATCTGGGTGTGCTGGTTGACAGCAGGCTCAATGTGAGTCAGCAGAGTGCCCTGGAAGTCCGGAGGGCAAATCCCATCCTGGGTGCTTGAAACACAGTGTAACCAGCTGGTCAAAAGAAGTGATTGTCTCGCTCTATTCAGTGTTGCTGTGGTCTCATCATGAGCACTGTGTGCAGTTCTGGGCCCCGCCATTTAAGAAGGATGTGAAGGTCTGGAATGAATACAGAGAAGGACAACAAAACTGGTGAAAGGGCTGGAAGGAGGAGTGACTAAGGACTAAGGACTTTGGTCTTGTCTAGTTTGGAGAAAAGGAGGCTGAAAGGCCGTCTCATTGCTGTCTGCAGCTTCCTGAGGAACAGAAATGGAGAAGGAGGTGCTGAACTCTTTTCCCCAGTGTCCAGTGACAGGATGCATAGGAATGGTTCAAAGTTGTGCCATGGGGGGTTAAGGCTGGACATTAGGAAGCATTTCTTTACCTAAAGGGTAATCAAACACATGAACAGGCTTCCTAGAGAGGTGGTCAATGTCCCAAGCCCATCAGTGTTTAAGAGGCATTTGGACAATGCCCTTAATAACATGTTTTAACATTTCATCAGCTCTGAAGTGGTCAGGCAGTTGAACCAGATGATTATTATACATCCTTTCCAGATGAGTTATTCTATTATGTTCTAAACACAGTGTTACCCACTGTTTTCCTATCAACTACTAGGTGACCACAAAACCACATAAATCACTCTTTCTTATCTTTCTGCATGTATTCCAATATTAAATAATATATATATATTTATATATGGTATTAAACAAGGTTTAATTGAAAATTGTGAAAATTATTTGCAGGTATTTCTATCACTGTGTTTATAATCTGTTTGTAAAACTGATCCACATAAAACATTCATACTATCTATCACCTTGAAAAGGAAAACAAGAAAGACTATTTTGTGAAGTTTTTCTAGAGACAATCCACATTTTTAGGCACCACTCATTTAAGAGATGAAGAACAGCTCAAAGGTTTGCAACCAGATTTAGCGTTAGGAGTTTGTGTGGTTAATTATACTTAGTCACCGTGTAAAGTCTGAAGAGGAATGGACGGGAACACTGATATATAGCAAATATCATAGATGTCTATTTAAGATCAAGAGACATTCTAGTATTATTATGAAGAGGTCAGACATACTCAACTCCAGCCAGGGCAATCATGCATCATCTCATTTTGGCTTACCTTCAGGTGACTAATTCATGGGCTTACTTCTTCATAGACGCCTCTGAAGTTCTCTGTGTATGTATTGACAACATAAATATTTTATGAAGTTAATGGAAGTAGCTAGTTTTCTCTACGTCAGAGAATAGGGAGAAATTATGAAAAATTAAGGCATCTTGCGTGATCTATCATAGGTAAGCAAGAAAACTTAAAAAGTGCTACTCAGAAGGCACTTGAAAGTAAAATATGATCAATAAGTGATTACAAAGACATGGGTGGGACAAATGCGAATACTAACTACCCCACAAGAAAGTATAATTTCCTCATGAGAAAGAAAAGATACTGCATTGATATTCTGAAATATAAATTTTTAAACTAGCATCATCTGATGATCTTTTTACTGTCACCATGACTGTTAGACTACCCAGATGTATCACATCTGCTGAGTATTATAATACAGTGAACAAGTACAAAATATTTATGTGGTAGAGCTAGACAGAGGAGAAGAAACTAGCTGCTAGTTTGATTTCCATCAATATCCTTATTACACTACCAAGCACAGAAATGTTCTCCAGCACCACTTAAAGGTTACTTGTTTTTCCTACTTGTTTAGAAATATAGAGGGGAAAGACAGAATCCCAGTTTCCCTAGTAACTCATAAAATCATTTGACTTGATTTTTAGCCACAGATGTTACTGTGGGCTGAAAAGAGACCCTGGAGCTTATACAGATTCTGCCCAATGCTGGAACCCTAGGGCTCTAAAACAAGTATATTTCTAATGGTTTGTCAGAGGATAGGAGAAAAAAAAAATCTTATCTGTAAAGCTTATCTAAATGATACAAGCTTTTATCAGTAAGATGTTGAGTGGTACTGCTGTATTTTCAAGTGCTTCAAGGTAACCATAAAAGTGCACTTGGCTGTTATAGCATTTGAAAATCAATAATTATGCACTTTCCATTAATACTGTGCACATCAAGGTTTTCAATACTGCTGTTACACACTGAGGTGGCAAGAAGACGCTGGTAGAAGAAAAGTAGATGGAGTTTTAGAGAAAGTCAGTGCGTCATTTCACAACGCAGGGAACAAGACCAGAACATTTTGTTTAATAAAAAACCTTGAACCAGTGAACTAATAAAGGGAGGAAGTTTGGATTATGAAAAAAATATTACGAATCTTATTTTATTGTCCATTCTTAGAAGTTTAAAATGTTTAAACTCTATTTAAAAATACATTATCTCACAGTATCTCTGTATACCTTGTTGATGAACTTGTGTATTAGCACTGACAACAGAAAAAGACAATATTCCCTCATTGTATATCCCTTAGTCTGTCCTGAGAGGTAATGACTGGGATTAGGTCAGCATTTATAGACACGAAGTAGGGTTAAGAAAGTATGAAGGCAGTCAAAACACAGATCCTTCTGCTTTAGCATTCCATCTCCAGCAGCAGACAAAAGCTCAGGGAGGGTCAGAAAAACATGTAGATCTCAGCTTCCAATCATTTGCAGGAAGACCTGAAGTACAGGTGTATTTGCTCACTGCTATATGAAAGCAAAATGCAAGAGCAAAGCAAGAAGCAAACCACCGACTTCTACTTCAGACTCATTGTCTTTCCAGGACAGAATGTGAACCTCTCAGCTATGCCATGCACATTCTAAAGTACTTTTCCCCAAAGATAAAATATAGGACATGTTAATTCAAATCCACATTTTACTTTAGAAGAGAGCCATTAAGACAACTAGAAAGGAAGGACAGATAATGGCCAACAAAAATTCTAAATTTGTACCCACTGACACTATCGTTTCCCTTGCTCCTATCAAAAAATCAGGAATACGTAAAAATAATGCACGCAGTGTTCCTTTATATGTCCGACGTGCACTTCTTCAATTACATTTTCATGTAAGTCTTTATGAAGAATATAAGTTGTTTGCTCCTCCTCTTTGCTGTTGGTCTTGCTGCTGGCAGGGTTGTTTGATGATCTCCTGTATCTTCACTCACTGTCTTGGGAGAATCTCCAGCAACATACAAGGAACTTCGTCTGGTCCCAAATCCTGTGTTCACTTTCTTCCACCTCCTTGCTCTGAAACAAAATTTTTAAAATGGTGTGATGGCAACATGAAGCAGAAAAGTCAACTGAAGCTAAAACAATTGGAGATCAAATTTCATCTAAGAAAAAATTTCAGTAGGAAACAGTAGAATTTTGATAAGAAAATCTTTCAGAATTTTTAACTTTATAGTACATACCAGATACCTTTTCAGCTGATACCTTAATAAAGAACAAAAAAGTATAGGGTTTCAGAGCAATTACTTGGCATTTTCTTTCACAGTGAGAAGCAAGCTACACTTTTGATGACTAGAAGCCATTATTTATTGATTGGCAGTTCTGAACTGCAGTCCTATTGTTATTCAAGATACATTTAAAGTACTTACTTGTAACTCATGAGAAGAGAAAGTGGGAAATAGTGAAAAAGATCAAAGATATCTCAAACCCTTCATTTGACAGAATTCAGGTACTAGTTCAGCATAATATCTTCATATTATATTAATAACAATAGCGAGAGATTATTTACAAAAAAAGTGATCACCATAAAGATTATAATTAAAACATAACCATGCTAAAAATATATTAGTTTTTATAATTCTGGGGTTGATAAATCACATTCTAAAAACAATGTGCAGCAGACCAAGAACATCCACTCCAATTGGGCACCAGAAACAGGCTATTATGCTCTGAGGAATTCAGAGCACAATGAACAGAAAGTAGCCTTTTATAGAATAAGTGAGATTTATCAAAATTAAGGATCTTAAGTATTGCCCGAAGTAGTTACACTACAAACTGACTCGAGAAGACTGCATGTAAGAGTAAAGAAATCCTGGCAGATCCAAACTATTTCTATATATTACTAGTTTTCATTTCATCCATGGTTAATTGAAAATTTCCTGTGCTTTAAGCTTAAAGAATCTTCAATTCTCTCCATGCCATCTTTGCGCTTTCATTGACATTCTACCGCAAGCAACAGTGCAATTTACTGTATTTCTAGTCTTTTTATTATTATTTTTTTTATGTATCTTGAACAAGTTTTCAGAAAATGGAATCCACAAACCAATTGGTTTATTCCTGACTCTGGGACCCTAAAAAGTCTTCTTGTTGTTTGAACAACATATCAGGGAACCTGAGACTTTTTTACAAAGCTGTGGAACACTGTGGTGGTGTGATAGAATGAAATGTTTTAATGTCTTAAATATTGTCAAAATCATAGAAAGACTTTTTGTCAAACTGCAAGAAAGCAACTACCTGTCTGTGACCACTGAAACACACCCCTTCCCGAATATGCCTCCTGACTGGAATTTGGGCTGTGATGGGAACTTGAGACCCTCACCACCAAGAAGACCAGAAGAAGAGGATTCACGGAATGCCACTGGGTTACATGGAGTGGTGATATATTTTCTATTTAATCTTTCTGTGTCACTCTCTTTTTTCCCCTGCCTCTCCTTTTTTCTATTTCTTTCTATCTCTCTCTTTCTGCCTCACATTTATTGTTAAATAAAAAACATACAATTGACTTTGGCATATGATCTTGTTTGCACCTTAATTTGGGGAGAGGCATTTCTAATAATTTTAATAATCAGATATAACAGGTGATACCTTGTTGCTTCTTTGTAGTTGTAACCCATTTCCTGACAGTGTGGATGGGTCAGTCATGCCATTATGAATACACATGTAATATAATCTGTCTACTTATAAAACAATCATGTTCTTAATAAAAACAGCATCACCTGTCAAAATCATTTAAGCTGCCCAATTATAAAAGCCTTTGAGCTAGCATAGCCATGTGATTGTTTATAGCGTCACAGACCTCATGATGCTCCTGTCTACTGATGAACATGCCTACTAATTCCAGATACAAACTGATTGCCAAGCCCTACATCAGTAAGAATCAATAAACTGGCAAATTCTTCACCCTGCCGGATACACAAGACTGGGCTGCTCAGAAACTTAGTTGTCATTATCAAATTTTACTGGAATCTTTTTGAATGAGATGGCTGCTTCCTTTTTAATTACTTTAATTTAATGATTTTCAATAATGACTTTGCCTTAAAAAAAAATCTATACAAGTTCTGTTAACAATTCCTTATTAAAATACCTGTGCAATATTAGTCATAGTTCTATCTTTTCCATTCATTTGCTAATTAAAAATATGTTAATATAAACTTAAAAAATAGAATCCCTAAAATTAGCAATTGAAAAAGTTTTAAATTAAAGAAAGTAAACTAAAATATATGAAAAAACAATAGCTGTAACTTATGGCTGTGGGCTTAAATTACCTCCTGTTCCACTGGGAATACACATAGTAAATTTTCAGGACAAACCATGTTATTTGTTTTTAAAGTATTTCTTACTTAAGCATTTCAGAAACACTTAGTCCTGCATTTCTAGATGTCACATACAGCTATCTGACATCTATAAAAAGTTAAGAGAGTTTTATTCTGCCTTCTGTTTCATAATTAGATTAATGTAGCTGAAAATATCATGAGCTGCTACTAAAACCGCTGCATGAATATATAGAATGGTAAGCTTTGAAAGTTTAGACAAAAGTACTCACACCTGCTAGAAATCACTAGCATATAGACAATCTTATTTAAAAGACTAGTCCTGATGTGTAACAACACAAAACACTTAAGAGTGCCTATTGATAGCAACTCCTTTTTATCTCCCCACTGCTTTACAACAGTCTTCAAACACCTCCTATAAGAACTCCTGAGGTCACAGCTGTAACCAAGAGAATATTTGCCAGTATATAACTGGAGTAAGTCATGTCAAAAGGATTTGGCTCAGTTGCTCTTCTCTGTTTACAAGTTATATTTCCTCTGAGTAATTCTGCACTTGCCTGCTGCCAACTGGAGCTTGTTGAGGTTCCTTGGGGCAGGCAGGGAAGAAGCCAATTGCTTGTTACTCAAGTAACAAGCAACAGGACAAGAGAAAATGGCCTCAGGTTGTGCAAGGGGAGGTTTACATCAGATATTAAGAAAAATTTCTTCACCGAAAGGGTTGTCATGGAACCAGCTGCCCAGGGAAGTGATTGAGCCACCATTCCTGGAGGTATTCAAAAGATAGATAGCACGTGGGGAAATGGTTTAATGTTGAACTTGGCGGTGCTGGGTTAATGGATGAACTCAATGATCTTAAAGACCTTTTCCATTCTAAATAATTCTATAACTCTATGATTCTATCATTGTACCATCATAGTTGTTCAAAGCCTGGTGAGCTCTGCAGCTGCTGCTGTTGCTTTAGCCATCTGTTTGGCCAGCACTGACAGTGAGTCAAAACCCCTCTGTACATGGAAAGACTGCACAACTGTATTCCAAATTATTGCCAAAAAGAGACTAAAACTGTGGAAAGCCTAATAATAAAAGTAATATACAACTGCTTAAGAAGAAAGATAAAAGTAAAAAACTAATAATACAAATGAATAATCAAAATAAAATGCATGGATTTCAGACTCCAGAGCAAAACATTTTAAAACCTTTTTCCTAACAGTAGACAAATAGAAAATGCTATCAAAGTCAGTAACAAAATCATGAAAATACACAAGCATAAAAAGGCAGCATACCATATGTCCACTGATATCTAGTACAACAGGAACATTAAGAAAGCCATTAAGATAGTGTCCCCATTGTGCCCAGGTATACAATAACATATGGTACATTTCCTGCTTCACTGTGCATTTCCTTGCTTTCTTTGTTTAGCATCACAAATTTAGAGCTCGATTAATATAGTTTGCGTGTGCGTTTCTCCACAGAACATTTTAAAATTTTTCAATGCCGTATAAATTAATCTTTTTTTTTTTTTAGTGTAAGTGCACAGTAAGTATTAATGTAAGATGGGATTCTTTCCAAACCTTAATTAAAAGGAAGAGCTAGATAAAACTATTTTAAGGTAGCTACACATGATACTTAAATTATTATTGTCGTCTTATTTAATCCTCACACAATTTGCTGTAATGATGCTACAGAGAGACATTACAGGGTTGTTGTTTGTTTTAATCAATGATGACTTCCCAAGGACAGATGTGGGTATTTCCCAGGAGTATAAATTAGTGGCAAAATAGTAAGGGACTAGTGTAACAGTGTTAAAGGAAATACATCAAGAAACACTTATTCTTGAAAACCTAAAGTTTAAGGAACCTCAGGATTTCCAAAGGTAAGATGAAATTTATTTGTAAAACACATTATCTCTCTCTTTGGTACTTGAGAGATTTCACATGCCTCCTATAAGGGCTGAACTTTCCCACACTAGGTCAATCCTACCAAGGTTCCTGTTTGATTTCAAGGCTCCTCATGGAAACTAAAAAATAGTTCTCTTCTCAAAGGAATACTGTTAATTATCTTATGTTCCTTTCTAAAAGAGTCATATACTATTTCATAAGTTTGATATAGAAAATGAAATTCGAGTAAAAATATCCCCTACAACATCTCAGATACTTGCATCAGAAACGTTTTTTCAAATAAATCATTAGACAAATAAGTAATATCCTGAATACATATTTTTAAAATATAAAGGGTGAGAGTTCATTTAATAATAATAAATGTCAGCCCAGATCCACTATGATTTTTCATTTTCTGTCTCACCAGTGGCTGTGGTGCTATGCAAAACTATTTGAAAAGTCATGCATAGATTATTTCCAAGTGTGGGTGTAGAAGGAAGGGATCTCTGGTATGAAACCAAATTCGAGTTAAGAAAGGAAATCATTATAAACTTGAGCTAGCATCTTTACTGGTATAAACTACACCTTACTTTTAGACATTTATTAATGACTAAAATAATTAATATTCTGAGTAGAATTACAGGTTGCTGCCCAAATTATAGACCACGGATTTATGTTAGCTTCTGATTTAATTAAAACACATTTGCCCTTTAGCATTAGGGGACTGTGAAAGATCGTGAGTGAACATATGGATATTGAATTAGGTTTCATATTTTTACACAGCAGAAATATCTTAGACCCAGTGCAAACTCATCCACTACGCCATTCCAATATTAAAAATACTATACGAGCTCTCAAACAGCATGAA